TCTGCCTTCTCTTTGCCATATGCTATTTACAATCTGATGGACTTCATTACTAGAAAATAAATCTCTTCTGTTGTCTTTATGTATATACTAGAAAATCTTAAAATCTTAAAGATAGAATAGAACGATAAAGTGCATTTCAAGAAAATCAGAATCCTCTATTTTATATAGTACTTTGCCATTTTTAATAACTTATTTGTGTTACTTTGTTTTTAAAGAGCAGGTGAAGAATTTCAGAACAGACATTACAATCACCTATACCGTACCACAAAAGTGAAACAAAACCCTGATTTTTGTTTTTTTTTATAAATTATCCATTAACCATTGGGGCATTGTTTCATGACAAAATTTGGATTGTTTCTGCCAGGATGAGTTTTACAAACAGTGTTCAATACATTATCTCAATAAAACTCTCTCTTCCAGAAGGTACAGCAGAACACACAACAAATTAGTTGATATATTGGGAACTGCAGTTCAGAACAGTTGGGAATTGCAAGAAAGTAAAAAGCTGAGAAGCATAAATTCAAATATGTTTTCACGAAAAGTGAGCAAAGGAAGGTAAGCGGGAAACTGCAAGACCACATGGAACCCTAGTTAAGCTTATTTATCTAGTAACAATAAAACCTGTTGGTCCTGTTGTTTCATAGAAACTATATAGTGCCATAAAGCTGCGCAAAGTAAATTCTAAATGTTAACACACTAGAAATTGTAGTATCTTACTTAGAGTTGAAGAGCTATGGAAGGCCTAATATTAAAGATAGTGGAGAAGCTTGTCCCATTCTCTTGAACTTTCTCGGAAACCTCTGTGCACATACAGAAGGATTAGCCAGTAAAATCCTTTCAGCTTACTTCTACTGCCAGGTATTTTTTCTATAACTACCAAAAAAGGAAGCATAAATAAAAAACATTCAGTGCTCTGTGTTTTGGAAATCCTGTTTCCTAGCTACACTTAATTGTTTTGTTGGTTAAACAACTTGTTTAAAAAATTTCTTTGAAACACTGCTGAGCCAGTAAGAGTCTTAATGGATCTGTGAATAGGATGGTTAACAACAATAAGGCTCGCCTGAAGCTTTTCTCTGTATCCAGACAGAATTAAATCATGATGAGGGAAGTTGTAGTTGATCTAATTATAAATATATATTTGTTGTGTTTTATACTTTTTTACTACTCGGTATAATATTTTCAGTGTACCAGACATCCATATGTATTGCCATTTTTTTCATCTGGAAGTTCAATAGAGAGGGAGAAAATCCTTTACAAAGTTCAAAATAGTACAGGTGATCCAAATGGTATATGCCGTTACTATCGCAGTATTACAAAAATTACACAAAATGGAAATCCAACTCCTCTACAAAACTTAAGAACAATTTACTGAAGGTCTTACAAATAGGCTTAAAATATTAGAGGACAGGAAATAACATATGACTTCAAGGACTAAGTTAAGAAATAAGAACTTCATTCTGACAAAATATTCAAAAACAATAATAGTATTGGGTTCCCAGAAGAAGTGGAAGGGTAATCTGACATACTTTATAGACTATTTAGTCTTGTTCAGTTGATGATAAAGTATGAGACTTTACATTTACTCAAATTTAAACGTTTTACCAATACAGACCTGAGGCTTTCTATTCTCCTTTGCTAGACAGCGTTGAGTGAAAAATTCTATGAATATTTTTCAGTTGTGGCTGGCATCTGGATGTATTTGCACTTGTTTCCCAAAGTGTTAATCTCCTCCACAGGATTTCAAGTGTATAATAAACCGAAGTCAAGACAACTTCTCCATATAGCATTTCTGCCTGTTAGAGGAGTGAGAAATTAGCCGCTGAAGTTAGCCAGTTAGTCATGAGGCATCCTGTGGTCACAAGAAGAGTTAGTAAATCTATTGAGGGATTGCTTAAAGTATGCGAATATTTAAAAGGATTCTTCCACCTATGTTTTAAGATCCATAAAATTCCTTTGTTTTTCAAAAGAGATTAAAAAAATTGTAATGGAAAAAAGTGGTGAAAATTTGGGAAGTTCCCATTAAAATCTTTTTCTAGGAGAGGAGATGTTATAGTTATCAGAAAAATGTTCTTTACTGTCAAAAAAAGAATGGTATGGACAGAATTAGTTTGTTTAAACATACAAATTTAAACAACTCTACCATGAAGCTATGAATGTCACTAAACTCAGTCAGAGGGAAATAATAGGAATTTGTTCTGTGGCTAATGGCTGGAATTGTTCTTTTCTGTTTTATTCAGCATTATATGTTTCTGTGTAATCTATGCTTTGTCTTACCCTGCTATGTGTAACTAACTGGGTGATTTTGATGAGTATGTTCCCTCACTTCAACCAGATGTATCCCATTTATGGGGACAGTGAAAAATAACAGCAAGTATCTTCAAGCTACTTTAATCGGTATTTTATCTGCGTAGGTTTCCAGTGAACCATCCTGTTCCACAAAGCTGAACTAGGATACAACTTTTCATGTTGTTTGTGATGCTGTTTTAACTCTGTTTCCTATGTTCTTTTCCTCTGTAAGTGATTCACATTAAAATAACAGTGTGGTTTATAGATTTTGTTCTAGAACATAATAGAATTGCTATTTTTTTGGCAATGATTTATTTTGGTGCAATATTTGCAGCAATTTGTTTTATTAACTGTGTGATCTAGTCTTTTTAAGAGGTTAGCTTAGAGGTAAAGTAATAGCTATTTAACTAATACGTTATAGGATTATACCTCAGCATAGCTTCAGTTCAGCTCATCAAATGATTACCTAGAATTCTCCATTTTGTTAACAGACAGTATTCTGGCTCCTCTATAGTGAATTATAACGTGATCACTTCATGCGCTGTTGACCTGTTTGCTGTGAAATCTTCCACAGAATACCCATACTTAAAATGTTGCTTGAATGTTTTTGGACATTTATACAGTTTAGAACAGCTGCTGTGTTGTCAGATAGAAGCACAGTATGGTAATTAGTGAGCTATATAATATTAAATATATCTGAAAATAGTTGCAGGCATTAACAGAATTTCCAGCGTTTTAAAATGTAGCTGATAAAAATATGAACTCTATAGCAATTTATTCATCCTACAAATTTATTTTTTTTTAGTCAGCAGTGTGCTTGAGAGTGGACTGGATATGGAAGAATAAATAGAACTCAAGGCAATATTGTAGATATGTCATCAACTTTGGATATACACAAAAAATTCCAAGTTAGGGCATTAGTTTCCCTCTCTTTTTCTCCTACTTTACCGTTTCAATAATTTAAATGAAGATGGTGCTTTGCCTGATTATCTGTTTCAAATGTGTCATAAATTCTTCAGAATTATGCATGAGTACAGTGCACTAATATTGAGATTGTAGCTCAGCGGGTAGCAACTTTAACTTGCATGGATGATCAGTTTGCCTGGAGGACAGGGTGTAAATTAGAAGGGGTAACTTGAAAATATTGATGATTTCATCTTTCTAACTCAATTTGCAAATTTTTATTTTGAAATACTTTAACATATGTGTTAGAAAGACTTACTAGTGTGACTCGTACAGTAGGAACCATGGCAGTCATTGTTTCCTTTGCTAAAAATATATTTAATAAGTTCTTATTACCATCCTTGTAGTAGAAATACTCAGTTTTATTCCATGTACTCAATAATTAGACTTGAAGTTAATTACTGTTCTATATCTTGTCATGAGGCACTTAAAAATTCTTAGTACATTTTTAGTGCTGAAACCAGTTGCAATCTGCTTTGTCAAATTTCATCTTTATGTCTAAAGGAACTTTCTTTCTCCTTAGGTTAGTTACCCAGAACTAACCTCCCTTTCTTAAGTTGTGGTCCTCAAACCAGTAGTCATTCCCTAAAAGCCGCTGACATTTCTCAGGGCTAAAAGGAGAGCAAAGTGTGAGGTTGCCTGCAGAAGATTACCTGCTTGCTGCTACTCTCTAGAGATCAGCAAAGACTGGGGACTACTTCTAGAAAACCAAGGGCTTTTGCTGTGGGAAGGAGGGTCATATCCTTTATGGTTTCCTATTTCCCTTTTTTCTTCGGTTAACTTTCACAAAATGAATTCTACTTATGTGTTTGTATCCCAGACTTTTGGTAAATTTGAAGAGTCATATTTCTACTGTCCTTTTTTTAACCCTGTTACATTGATTTATCTTTAAATATGCCCGAGTCATCTTTCTATGCTAAAAAGCCAGGATCCTAGCCAATTTGTTGGTTTTTTTTAAAGAAAGTAGTAATTCTTATTCAGCATTCTAAAAAATCAGCTGACAAATGTGCTAATGAAAATTCAAAACATTGTAGGGTTCATCTACATTTAAAACTGGGTATTATGAACAGATATAAAGTAATCCCCGTACTTCAGTTTTCCCACATTTGCATGACTGTTAAACCTGAAGAATTGTGTTGTTATTCAAAATATTGATGATACTGAAACAAACTGAGCACAGATTGGGATGCCAATGCTTCTTGATGTTATGAAGAAACAGCAAGAGCCTTTGCAGCTGCTCTTTTCTGGAAAACAAACATTCTGCCTTGCAGCAAAGCGCGGGCCTTCAGAACTGAAATAAACAAATACACATTGTTCTGTGTGATGTTTAAAAGATGTTTATGATAGAAGAATAACCCAATGAGAAGTGACACTGAAGTCCAGCTACATTGAACGACTGCCCGGCTTACATCTTGTGACCCATGGCATGGCATGGGGTGCCATCAGTATTTGCAAACTCTTGTCTTGTCCCTTGGAATGTTTTTTCAGTGGATATTCATAAAAGACCTTCAATTAAAATTGTTTTGGAAAATGTGAAATTATCAGAAATTCAGCATAAACCAAAAACATCTGCTACGGGGAAAATACTTCTTTTATAACATTTACCACGGTTTTTGGTACTGGACTAGAACAGTTAAGCATTTCTGCTACCATTAACTACTGTTCAGCTTGCTCAATACATTGTGTATTCTGTAAATAAGAGAAAAATAGCCCGTGAAAGCTGTGCCTATTTTTTTTTCTCCATTTTGCAGATTGTCCAGAGGAAGTGTGGGGATTTCCCATGTGTCAGTACTTGAAGGACAAGGGCTGGTGCTGTGGTCGCAATGCTAGAATGTCAGCATGCTTGGTATGATTCCCCTTCTTTTCTTTTTCCTACTGAGAGCATTATCCAGATGTTATAGGATTCATTGTTTTTGGCTTCTAATCCTAGAGCCATGACTTTAATCCGAGACTCTACAGAATAACATCATTAATGTTGTAAGCATGATGAATTATATCTAAAAAAATAGTATTGACCTTCCAGCTTTATATATTTTATACTTGCTGAAGGCATGAAAAAATGAGTATTGACAGAAATTTATTTTAAGAGTGGACAGAAAGGCCAAACCTTTGTTGAAACCTAAACAAGGTAACCCCTCAGGGTAATATAGTTCCTGGCGAAGGACTTAGGGGGGAACAAGGTAATTGTAGAAGGATTGCAATCAGTAACTCTCCCAATGCCTTCATGATTCATAATATTGAATGCTCTGACTGTTAAAACCTAAACAAACCTGCCTATTCCAAAAACTAGAAGAGCTCTAAAATCCGTGTGGCTTAAGAGACTGGAAACATCTTTTTAACATTGCACCAAGAGATGAAGTGCTTTTAAAGACCTAACATCATCAACACAGGATGATGAACTGTTGTCTAATTTGAAAAAACACATATGTGCTGAAAATTTCAACCACTGTTTCAGTTAGAAGACCACTATTCCTTTCCTCTGTTAATTTTTAATTTCTGGTATCAAGATGAATCACATCAGGTTCTGGCTAGCCTCTGCTGATAGCTCTGTACCTCCGTTCCGGAGAACAGTGTGGACTAAAGACTCTGTATAGGCTAACGTATCAAGGTTATGTAAACCTGAACTAACAGGGTAATTAAACGCTATCAGGAGAAGGTATAGCAGGACAGTTGTTTAGTATTTATAAGGTTTAAATGTGTTACCCTTGGCAAGGTACCAGAAAAAAACTGTTCCTTTTAGAGATGTTGCTGTAAAACTTATCACAAAAAGTGCTTTCTAAACGGGATTTGCTTTTTCTCTTTTTGTTGTCAGTGTCATACAATAGCAATTCTTCCTCATCTGACACATAAGCTATTTCCTTTCCCATTCCATTTCTTTTGGAAAGGAAAAGTCTGGGCTGTTTTTCAGCAATGGTAGGAGGATAAATTTTGTAAGCAAATGACCCCCAAGAGACAGTACTGAATGTGCCATATATATATCTATTTTAGATTTCACAGAAATCACAGAAGTTTGGCAGTTAAAAACTTTTTTTGTTTAAACATTCACGAAAGGCAAAGAGTTCTCCTGTGTCACTAGGTACTTCTACTGTAATTATGTTTGTAATTCTCTCTGCATTTTTCATGACTAGGATTTTCCTTGCCTTCTAGGAGGTACAAGGGAGACAGCGCAGTGCAGCTAGGCACCCATCTTCCTAGGGGTGATGTCTGGCTAGGAGAAACTGAGTCTGCTGAGCAATGACACTCAGCATTATTGCTGATGTTCATTATTACATGTCATTCGAATTGGTTAAAGTGCCAAGGGCCAAAGGTTCTGGACGAGAGTTTCAGTTTCAGACCCTTACAGTACATGTTAGAACCCACATCCGTCTTCTAAGAAGCAGCAGATACATGCTGGTATGAGAGCTATACTTTATACAGCAGAAGTCAAACCTGATAGTTGGCCAAAGCCATGAACGGAGGAACTGCAACTACTTGGACCGTGTTTGAAGAACAGTCTGAAAGACAAGATCAGTTCTAAAACTAGGAGGAGGAGAAGTGGGTGATTCAGAGACAAGCAGTCTTATTTACTGTAGTGGAGTTTGGGGACTAAAGGTGACGATGACCCATAAGTGGTGAGGCATTTTTGGTTTGCTATCTAATTTATTGTAGTGTCAGATAATTTACTGAATTTTTGTCTTTGTTTCTACCATGATCTTTAATACTCGGTTGAAATTTTTATAGGCACAGTATCTTTCAACTGTAGAAAAATATTCCACGCTTCTAATTATTTGTTATTCTTTGTCACTATGGATCATAAAAATCAAGTGCTCTCACACCTGCGTCAGGATTTATGGTATGAAAAATCTAGTGAAAGATAACACACAGCATTTTAAACTGCAGTCCCTTGAAGTTTTTATTTTATTTGACTTTACATACAAAAGTTCAATTTATCTGAATACTAGGGACTAAAAGTATTTAAAGACATTGTACATTGAACTAATATTTATTTTTAAATAGTTGAATATGTAAAGTGAATTATTTGTATTTTGGTGGGATCAGACTCAAGTAACATGCATTTCTTTTTAGCACTTTCACAGAAAGTAATCCTCTGAAATTCTTTTACAATACTAAGAAAAACAAACAAATTTTGCATGCATCTATTTCCATACAGTTTCCAAGCAGTTTGTTGTCACTGCTTCTCCTATAAATAAACCAAAATAACAGGAGTGAGCTGATTATGAGTCCCTAAAGGTATTAACACTTTAAAGTGTGCAAGCTCGTGTTATGTCACACCATTAATCTTTTAAAATGTCATCTCCTCTGACTTTTATACAATGTGTTCATAATATGTACTGATAAAGAATAAACATACCAGCAATTTAATTCCTTCACTCTTAAAGGCTTTGGAGCGAGTTGCAGTTGGCCAAATGGTAAGTAATATTGTTTATTTTAGCCATTCTGAGATAAAATGTGTTTTTCCCCCTTGAATGCTCTTAATCCATGAACTTTTATTGAACTTCTGCATTTCTGGAATCTAAAATACCAGCGTACACTGTATCAAATCCTGATAGATAGCATGTGTCATGATGAAATCACATTTTTATTGCTGCGATTGTACTTAGTGAATCTGTTTTCTTTTGACAATTAAGAGTCTGGAAAAAAAGCACAGCTTAAAATTTAAGACATAAAACTACCCATCTTAACTTCTTTCTCTATCTTTCAGCTAATACATAAATTCAGTACAAATGTCCTTCTGATATCCCTGGTTTGGATCACTCTATCCCAGTGTTTTATCAACTAATGTAAAAATAGAAATTGTTATGACAAAAGCTTGAACCTGTTAGAAACATCATTATTCTCATTTTTAATCCCTGTATATTTTTTTTCCCTGTGAATACTTTGAATTATTGTTGTGCAAGTTATCCTTTCAGGGATGGTGGACACCAACTGTGCAAATATTTAAAAGGCAAGGCTGAGACACCTATTCTTTCCATATGTAAGCCCACTGACCCCAGTAGTCTTTTACTGTAAATGCATTTTGCCATGAATTTTTAATTGGCAAGCATTAACTGTTTTTATGCAAAGAGATCTTTCATACACAAAGGTATGAAGTTTTCAGTGTATTCTGTTTTTATAAGCCTAGTACTTTCTGCATGGTTCAGACTACAGTGTATGATGATTCAGCTAGGGAATTACTCCTTTTGTCTTTAAAACAGTTTAGGTAAATTGTTATATTTATTTTGTATAGTAGAATTTGGATCATGATCAGTACATTTTTCCTCTGTTCTTTTTCCCTCTGCCAACCTTTGAACTTTTACTTCAGAGTTTGGGTTTCTTTTTTTTTTCTTGCATTCATGGTTATGTTAGAATCTGACCCAAAAACGTAATTTTAACTGGATGCAAGAACATTAGTAAATTGTCCTCTTAAACCTGTTATGACTGATTGTAAAGAATACAAGCCAATAAGTAGTTCAGGAAGCCAATACTGGTTTTGTTACTCTCGCCTTAATTTCAATGCCAATTTTAAATCCTTGCTGTTGTAAAATTTTTTGCAGCTGCCTACAGAATCATTGTTTTATCGAGCTGTTCTTCAGGTTATTATAGAAGAAATTTATGGTGTCACCAAAAGGTAGGAAGCTCTGAATTCATAGAATACAAACCAAAGATCTGATTCTTTCCCACCTCTATTCTGTAGAGAAAGTATTTCTTAGAAAGAAGAAGGGTGTAAGAATCAGTCTTATCAGACTGTATATACATATTGGTATTAAAATGCAGGATACGTTTCTTCATCCTAAATCTACATCACAAATGTATTGCCCTTCCTTTACCCGTAGCTGAAACAGGTCCTCTTTGGTACTGGATACATGGGTAAAATATTTTTGCCAGAGAACCGACAGCAAATTCACTAAAAAGTCATCCCAGTCCTGGGCTAGCCTGTTATGCTGAGGTCCTGGCAGCTTTCATACTGCAGAAGACAAAAAGACATTTCCATTTGTCCTGAGGAAAATCTGCTGAAAGCCCAATGGCCAGCATGGCTGTGAAGAGCTGCTTACTGCCTACGCCTACATTAGCAAGTACTGCGCCCTTGCAGGATGGGGTTTGGAGAGCTGGTGCTGCGGACCTGACATCTGCACTATACTCTCTTCTGGAGTTGTAGCTGGATTAGGTTTTATCTAATTCTGTGGGATGTATGTGTGTGAGCACTTGGAGCACATCCAGAAGCACACCTTCCAGTTTAATTTAATTTGAAAGTAATCCATTTTTTGAGCTCTGATCCTTTTCCACAGTGTGAACCAAGGCATGAGGTGGGCAAAACCAGAAAAGTCACTTCAGAAGCATACTCCTGATCTAAAATAAGTGCTAATGCAGATACCCCCAAATCCTTTGCTAAATGTAGAGCCAGACAGCTTACCCTTCAGAAGGTCAAACTTCTGAAAGAAGAAATGCTTTATTTATTTTAAAATTACGTAAAATATAACGCATAAAACCATGGCTACTACATTGTAAAAAAAAGAAAAACTGTGAAGTAGATAATAATATATTTCGTTTGTTAAAGGAAGCATAATTTGAAGGAAGTAGTTAGGGTCATACTTTTGGAATAAAAGCAATGGCTACCTTGGAAAGACTCCCTCCCTCCCTCGCCCCCCCGTTTCATTTCTGAGCACAATGTTACATGGTGTGGAATATCCCTACGGTCCATTTGGGTCAGCTGTCCTGACCATGTCCCCCCACAGTTCTTGTGCACCCCCAGCCTGCTCCCTGGGGGGCAGAGAGAGAAACAGAGAAGGCCTTGATGCTGTGCAATCACTGTTCGGCGGTAGCTGAAACTTTGGTGTGTTACCAGCACTGTTTTAGTCACAAATCCAAAGCACAGCACTACCAGGGCTGCTGTGAAGTTAGCCCCATCCCAGCCAGACCCAGACAATATCTTTCCTCCTGTAGCTTGTGCTTAGGAGGGCAGACGCCCGTCTTGCAAAGAATGACAGAACAGCAGCATCATTAACTGATTTTCAGGCTGCATCAGCCCAAATGTTTAAGTGCTTCTAAATTTTAAATATGACTGCAGAAATGAATTCTTTCTTTAAAAATAAATGCGGGTGTTGGTTCTCAGTGAGTGGGGATCCCTGCCAGCTAAGCAGCATTTCAACTGCCACTGAGTAAAGTCTTTCTGTTGACCTCAGTAGATGTTAATCCTGATCCTTAAATAAGGAGAAAGGTGTTTTACTAAGAATAAAGAGGGGGAATAGTTTTAAACAAAGATATTTCCATTTAGTATTGCACGGGGGGGAAAGTATATTTCCTCTTAAGTAATTGAATACTCACAAACAGCTACTGTAGCTGAAAATGTAACTCCTACACTGCACAGCTGGAAGAGGAATTACATTAAGACAGTCAAGAAAGTGAATTCAGACTAACAAAAACTTTGCGTGTTGTTTCTCCAAGGTATTTTAAACACAGAGAACAAATGTAAGTGGCCTGTTAGGATTCAGTCTTCCTATATGTTTTTTAAGTTTTTGTGCATTATTTTAACATGTTTTTTGAAACAACCCACATTTTTGGCTGGCTTCAGAAGTAGGCCATTGAGTTGTAAACAGGAGAAAATTCTGGCATCACTTAGTGAAATAAAAATTGCAACGATAAGAACACAAGGTAACAAGCGAAAGTGAAATTTTACTCCAGCTTGGCATTTGCTCAGTCCAGTGGTTGATGGTAAATAAATTACAGCAGCATTATAGTAAATTATAGCAGTATTGTAGAAGTATAGAAGGAGATATCTGTCAGCGGAAATAAGAATTTTGTCATTTGTATAGGGAAATAAAAATATTAGGGAGAAATTAAAAAGAAACCTTCAACTCTCCAATTTTTAGGTAAAATAATAACTGTACTATAACCATAGTACAATTGTACAGTTGCTGTATCTAGAAATTTCTTCAAGTATTAGCTAGCGTGTTTTAAGTAAAAGGAGGAGAAAGGAAAATTGTTACTAACTTGGCAGTAGTAGCTGATTTATTTCTCCTGAATTAAAAATTTAATGAAATTAATTAAAAATGTGTAAATTTCTGTTGTTGGATGTATAAAAGCCTGCATCTCAATGCTGTATTTGCAGTGATCGACATGTTGGAAAAACTTTCTCCAAATCATCCTCCTTCATAGATTATGTCAGAAAGTCTCTGAAAAAGCTGGGACTGGATGATTCAAAGGTGAGTCACTAAATAGAGACTGCATGAAATCCTTATATCCATGTAAGTTCTTGAAGTCAGCACCATAATGCAATGATTGAACCATTGAGTTGATTTAGTTTGTGTATTGCTGTATAAATAGAAAGTATTCTCATTTTTATTAATATTAATAGAGCCAATCCATGCTTATTTTTATGCATTAAAAAAAACATACCAAAGTTGGGGTTTTTATGTTTTTTGGACATAGACTTCCATGTATAAATTCTTGAAAAGATTTTGTTTTAAAATGACTTTATTCTAATGACTTTATATAAAACGAATCCTTTTTTATACATGGTGCTCATGATCACAATTTTGTAAAGCCTTTCCAGTATTTATGCAGTTAATCCTACAAATCTCCTTTGAGGCGAAAAAATGTAATACGTACTCTGTTTTATACATGCTGTCATTTAGAGTTAAATACACTTTTCAGATGCAGAAGTGAAGCAGGCATGGAGAACTTCTTGCCTGTGCTGATACTATACATCCTGATAAAAGTAACTCTTGCACCCCTTTAAACCCAGCTGAAATACTATCCTATGCAAACTTGTTGCTTTTTTGTCTGTACTTAAGTTTAAACTGAAAGTGATCCAAAAAAACCACGAATAATGAATCACATAGTAAACGCTTTGACCCCTTTTTATTTTCACTTTTTCTGCAGCGATATTATCTTGATCCCTTTGGACACCTTTTGAAACTGAAAAAAGTAACATTATAGCAAGATAGGCAATTCCATCCATGCACTATGTTTCTCTTACAATTTACTTCCCAAAGTATTTCCAATTTATTTTAGCCTTTAGACAGTCTCCTTAAGCAGCCTTTGAAGATCTTCTCTGCTGCAGCTTCTGTGTATGGAAAGGCCTAATACTTTTTTTTCTTTAAATTAATAAACGTTAAGGATAAATATTAAGATTTTTAAATAACTTTACTAGACAGAGAAAAAGAAGTAAATACAAAATTGAGATTTAAACTTAGAAAATATTTTGGAGATTTTTTTTATGTTCCCGAGTGTCTTGTCTTAGTACTACAACTGCTAAATTGGTCAACAGATGGCAACATAGCATTAGGTATGGAATATGACTGTGTGAAGATCACAACCACTCTGTGAGAACAGGTTGTGCAATGGAGACACTAGAGAGTATTAGACTGATTATTAAAAGAATCAGTACAAATCAAAGAAAAAAAGTAGGAGTGGCAAGTGTGTAAAATATTTAAGGTAAATGTTGTTGTAGTCTTTGGAAAAGCAATGCTTAAAATCTGTAGTCAAAATGTCAAATCACTTAAAATTTGCCAGGCTCATCAAACCATGAACCAGGAGAAAAACGCAAAAACAAATAAACAAGTAAATGCAAATGACATTGGAATCATGCTTACAGCATTAAGAAAAAGACTTACGCCTGAAGTTCACTGTGTTTTAAAAGGATTATATTTAATTCTATTTGCAAATCGAGTTACCTGTTTGCTTTTCTGGATAAATAGGCACTAACATCCTGCATTTACCCCAGCTGAAAGTGACTGCTAAAATGGTGTCTTCCTCAGTATGTGTGCAGTCACCCAAAAGCAATAGCAGATTGTTTGTGCAATAATCAGTTTACTAAATCATTGATTAAACTCTGCTGGTAGAGAGTTATACATTCTTTCCTTTAAAACCAGTAAGCGTAGAAACTTTGTGTCAATGTGTCTGATTTTAGACCTGCTGCCTTTGGCCAGAAAGGGTCTGGACAGATGCAAGTTGCCCTGAGAGAACGATGTCTGTCAACACCACTTCAAGCTGCACGTGTTTGTGTGGTTGCTAAAGACCCAATTCAAGTAAATGCTCATTTTTGCTTAATTTCTCCTCATTTTTATGTACAGCTGGCTGCATACTGAAGACTGAATTTTATGCTGATCTAAACAATATTATTTTTTATTTCTCAGCTATGTTGAAATTTGCAGCAGCACAAAACCGTGCTATTTTGATACTACCGAGAGGAACGTTGTTACTGCTCCCTCAACAGTGGTTCTGACACTGCAGTTTTCATGGTGGAGTCAGCACTACATCTACACAATATTGGAGAATGTGTTAAATTCCTCTCTTCAGAAAAAAAATACTTCCATAGCTAAAAATGTGATGAAGCCTAAACATTTGCTCTCAAAGACAACAAAAATCAAAGAGAAATTTATGCAGAATTTGTTTTCAAGCTCTGTTTTTAAAAATGAACAAAAGCGCAGCTGTACTGCATAGACCAAATGTCTACTCTGTCTCCGGCAGCGGCCAAAAACTGATGCCTTGGGGAATACAAGGCGAGAGTAAGCATATATGAAGGATACTTCCAGAATAATCCAAAATGTGCGGGTCATTCACAAAAAAAAGGAGGCCTTCATTGTCTCCATGCATAAATGTATTTAGGTTATGTTAAAAAAACAACTAAAACTTAGTAACGCTGTGTAGTACAAACAAAGAACTGTGAGAAAAAATTGTTTGCATATGAGTCTCTGTTTTACATGTGCTAAGATATTTTTAAAAAAACATGTCAGAAAACTGCGAGTCTCAGGTCTTTTACTATGCTTATCAGAAAATTGAAGAGAGTTTAATCTCTGCATGATAATAAACGTACTGGGAAGTAGAGGTGTAGCGGCACTAAGTTTTTAGGAGTCACTGCCAGGGTTTGGCAGCCTGGCATGTATGGTGAAGTCATGGATGTTTTTGATCACCGTGGCTGAATCTGGACTGTGGGACATAAACATCCTTCCGAACTCGTGGTTCATGATGAGCACCGCAGCTGCTTCCTTTATACACACCAATGCCTCTGTTCCCGATCAAGGGGTAGCCCTGGTGCAATCCACTCATTTTCCAGTCTGGACAAATGTGGAGGCAGGATAAAGAGAGCGAGTGCATAAGACACCTAACCTGCCTTGATACTAATTCATGTAAGTGTATGCATTTTGCTAAATATAGAACTGATGAAGACTCTTATCAGGTATAAATATCCAAACAGTAAGTTAATTTTTGCTATTGTTTTTCAGTAAAGATAAGTTCTTTAATCCTGCCAATTCTTCATCTGAACAAGTCCCTCTGCCTCCTTCATTTGTGAAATAGATGTGAAGATATTTGCTTATTTGAAATAAGAACCAGAGCTTTTATGAAAAGATTGCCAATCAGAAGTGAGTTAGAGTAAGACAAAATAGTAAAATATTTTTTCCACAAAAAAAATAGCTTTTATCAATCACCTAGGGCCATTCATTGTTACAAGTTACTGTTCAGGGACTGAAGTTTCCTATTACCTTAGCGAAAATAATTTCCTCCATTGTGTTTCTTTTCAATGTGGAAGAGCCTGTCAAGTCCAGATTAAACACTGAGATGCAAATGAACTGTTTTTTTCTGCCTTTTGGTACAGGATCATTCCTTTCACACATCTCTCCACCTCAGTAGTAAAACTGAGACATACACCAGGACTACTGAATGTCTGACAAAATATTGTCATTTTGTGAGGGCAGAGAGAGGTCTTTTAGTGTGAGCTTGATGCTTCACAGGTATGGTTATATTGCTTCTAGCTTCAGAACTAATGGAATTGCTTTGCGGGCCATGGATGCCTGCACAGGGCTCTAGTAATTGGTCTGGATCGACACCAAGGCAATATTTTATTCCTGGTTGTTTTCTTTGTCATAGCTCACACTGTTCCTATACACTCCATGTTGTATGGGCAGAGCATTCAGTATCACGTAGATATGGGAGAAATCCTTTCTATCAGAAGATTTCTCTTCCCTTTTATTCACTTTTACCTAATTTAACATGAATGTGGGACTCTTACTTGAGAGAATGAAGCATTCATCCCTGTTCTTTCTCCTAGAGGAGCTGGCCACTCTTACGCTTGTTAGCCTTGCTTCTTTCAAACACCAAGAGCAATCACTCCTTCCTCTTCAGCAGAACATTTTTCAGCTCTGTTCATAGCTGCCTGGCAGATGGATTTAAAACGAAGCCTCTTTATTAATACATTTGATTGCTGCTTAAGACAGTAAATGCTACAAATGGCATTGCCACAGCAAAAAGTCCATGCATAAGTATTATGTATTTCTAGAGTCTTTGAAGAACAAAAACCCAAAACTTTCTTAAATTGCCTGGTGTCCTGTACTTATTGGGGTAGATCAGCAAAAGATCTTTCATAGGGCCTGGCCTTAAGGTGGTTAAAGGGAGAAAGTGCTTACAAGGCTGAGGCCTGGATGTGTGTCTGGCAGACTTTGTGATCTATGACCCAGCTAGGATCCATTTCTGCTAGTAAGTGAGAGCCTCAGCGGGTGGAGCTGTTTAACAAAGAGAAGCTGGCCAGGATTCATGTAAAGTGCAGGCTGGGAATAAGGAGAGAATGCTATTTAATGCCACATCCGATTGCAGGAAGATATACAGGGCTGGAAACACTCCTGACACATCCGCAACGAAAAGCTATTAGTCACTTTGATTTCATCTCCTGCTATAGTCACACTATAGTTACTGCTATGGGCTAATAGCATATAAGGTAGTTACTTTGTCTTAGTCAAAATACTTCACAAATCACTTAACCCTTTCAGATGTAGACATATGCTGGGGAGATACAATAGCAATTTCAGAGGTAGGGCCACCTTAAGCTTTCACACACAAAGAGAAGTTTATGTGCCTGTCAGTGAGTGGTCCTTGCAGATTTACTTGGCTTTGTTTAACCAAGCTTCCAAGTCTCCGGTGACTGGTGTTTTTCACTTTCAGTCTAGTGTCTGCACATAACTTGAAGTTGCTGGGGCTCTTCCCCCAGAAAAAGTCATTTATTTGGCGGGTGCCCCATCTAACAACCTGAGATGAGATCTGCAACAATAAACAGATGGTTAATGCTCAGTTTCCACCATCCCCGTTTGCTCTAACCCTGACCAGACTTCTTAAAAACAGCTGCTGCCCATTTGTCTTTTTCTGATCCTGTGCTTCAGGTAGAGCATCCCAAAAAGATTTACAGCTGTCAGGTCTCAACTGGTGGGTC